ATTGACGTCTACTCTCAAAATCCTAACTCTAATTCACAAAATCTTATCAAAGATATAAACTTTGATATTCTGCAAATTCTAGATTTACTTAAAAGACTTCCAAATAGAAATTCAACATCACCAGATCAAATACCCTATATATTATTAAAGAGATCGTGTGATCAAATCGCACAATATATTACAGAAATCTTTAGACTAATATTAGATAGTAAAAATATACCCGACATTTGGAAAACATCAATTATAGTACCTATACATAAAAAAGGAATAACAACAGATCCAGAAAATTATAGGCCAATTTCCCTAACTTGTACATTATGTAGAGTTTTTGAAAGAATCATAGCTAATAATATTATAGAATTTTTACATAATAAGGATTTTTTTGATAAAAATCAATTTGGTTTCCTCAAATCAAGATCTACTACTACACAACTTCTAACAATGTTAGAAGATTTTTACAATGCAGTAGGTAACAATCAGAATATAGATGTAATTTATATCGACTTAAAAAAAGCTTTTGACACAGTTCCAATAAATTTATTACTTACAAAAGTTAAAAATGCTGGTATATCTGGAAAAATTTTTGAATTCATAAAGCATTTTGTAACAGGACGATCCTACCGTGTAAAAATAAATGACTCGTTTTCAAGATCTTTTCATACATATTCAGGTGTTCCCCAGGGCAGTGTTTTGGGACCTATTTTATTCACAATCTTTATTAATGATTTCCCTGTCAACCTTCCAAAAGAAATAGGCTATAAAATATATGCAGATGATATAAAGCTTTATATTTCACATAATAATGATTCTAATATTAATTATCTTAATGAATCAATAACAATATTACAAAATTGGGTTATATCAAACTTTTTAGAAATATCAATTAAGAAATGTGTAATACTTTATATAGGAAAAGGAAACCTTAAACAGGAATATAAAATATTTAATCAAACATTAAACACATCAGATTGCGTACGAGACTTAGGTATCCTAATTGATAACAACTTAAAATTTAACAAACATATTGATAAAATAGTTAAAAATTCATACTTTATAACTTATCAAATACTAAGAATATTAAAAACTAGAGAATTTAAGACTTTAATAAATGTATATAAATCTTATATTCGTCCTCAACTTGAATATGCCACTGAAATTTGGAACCCAAACAGAATTCTTCAAATTAATAAAATAGAGCGAGTACAAAAATATTTTACAAGAAGAGCATTAAAAATCACAGGAATAACGCCACTACCTTATGAACAAAGACTTAACAAATTCAAACTAAAACAACTAAGCCATCGAAGAAAAGTAGCCGATCTTGTAATGGCGCACAAAATTATTTCAAAACAGACGCATCTAGACCCACAAAAATACTTTGATTTTGCAGTAAAAGCTAAAAGGAAAATATTTTGTTTAAGGAACAAAAAGTTTAACGGTAAAACTAGAAATAATTTTTTTAATAGAATCATAAATAACTGGAATAGCTTACCTAATGAAATTTTACAAACATATAATTCGCAAAAATTTAGAGTACTTGTTAATAACTTTATAAAATAGAGGTTTTAGTTCGCAACTCCCTTATCCTCCTAGATTGACATTTTTTTATAAATTTATTATGACATTTTCTTATAGTATTTTAAAAATTTATTTTTTATTTTACCACTATAATTGTACTTTTTTATGTACTTTGTGGTTTACTCAATAAATTAAATTAAATTAAAAAAAAAAAAAAAAAAAAAAATTATGTGAAGCAGTGTATTAAGAATTAATATGTGTGAAATTAAAATGATTTATTACTTAACTAAACATATCTGTATTTATATTCATTCAATCTCAAATTTTTCCAACCTTTTCTAACCTTTCTATACCTTAATCTACAAAATCAACAACAAATTCTTCGACAAATCGTGATTTTCCCTCAATATATAATATTTAAACAACTGTGCCAACCTTACAATCGAAGGAATAATTTTTTATTTTGTACTTTTTTGATTTAACCATTCCATTTTCTCCAATTTTGTATTCAAATTTTTTCATTTATTTTATTTTACCGTGTGATTTGCTTTAAATAAATGGGTATACAAGCAAATATGGATAAGGGGAAAAAGGTGTAAACCAAATCATAAGTAAGAGAATAAAAATATTTTTTAAAATAAAATTTAAAAAATAAAATTTTTAGCTTTCTGATTGGCAAAATTTAATTAAATATATTTTATTTTTTGTCAAAGTTGAGAAGGAAAATTTTAAAATCTTTAACAAAGACCGACTGTATTTTGATCAGAGCTGTTTCGAATTTAGAGGTTTTTTTGTTTCGAAACAACTCTGATTTTGATAACACATTGTTTTGACTCTCACCCAGGGTGACCCCTTCCAAATCACCAAAAGGGGGCATGGCTTCACAAAAAGTGGGGAAAAGGGGGGCGAAATTGGCCAAGGGGGGCGAAAAATTCAAAAAGGAGGAAAATGCCCCTTAAGGTTGGTAAATGGGTCACCCTGCTCTCCCCAGAAAAAAACTAGGCATTGGATTTGAGGAATGGTTAGTGCCCCTTCATTCTCCTGTCAAAACAAAATTCAAACTAAAATATTTCTTTCCCCCTACCTCCGCAGGCTTGGATTGCTTTTTCTTCATTTGGACCTACCCACAATTGTCTAGATTCTCCTAGAGGTAGAGCAACTAACTTTTTCTTACACACATTTATTCTTAGAAAATAAGGTTGGGAATGGACACTCTTATAGAGTAATTCTTTACCTTAGGAAAATACAGGGTGACCCAAAAGTTATCGGACAGTAACTCTGTATTCTAGCAAAGGGTGGGCGAAAATTCTTCATTATATTTGTTCCTTGTTTTATCCTCTATCACTTAAGCTTTATTTACTCCGATTAGCTTTAATTTGAAGAGAGATATGCCAAAAAACGCGTGCCCATTTACTTTTGGGTCACCATGTATTTTGTGATTATTCACCTATCTAAAATTACAAATTTCTTTATTTACATTAATATTTATTTTTATAGAGAACGTCCGAGACCGAAAATTTCCAAAACTCAAAATCAAGACAACTTTTCCCGTTATGAACGATTTACTTAAACAACAATTAGAGTTAACTAAATGGGAAATGAATGTAATTAAAAGTAACAGAAATTTGGCCCAAATAAGCCTCCATATTCTCTTAATTCTTTAATTTCTACTGCTATAAATGAAAGTGAAAATAAAATGTGTACAGTTAATGAAGTAATTTTTTATAATTAAAGTCAAAACAAATTACACGATACCCCCAATACTCGATATAGGGGATGTGCCGTTTCGCCTTTCGTCTTCAGTTTTTTAAAATTAGTTTTGGCACACCCTTCCTAGATACAACTCAATTTAAGAGACATTTCTTAAACATTTCTTAAAATTTGGTTAATCCCTGGGTGGGGGAGAGTTTTCTAAATGATACCCTCAATTTAACAGACCTCATTATAAGATATATTTTTCAACCCAGAGGTTTCTATAAGTAAGGTCTGGCTCACCCCTATTTGGCACTCCTATAGCTATTGAGGAGCCTCAATTTAAGATACTTTTATTATAAGGTATGGTGTTTTCAATAAGGGTGTATCTTTTAATGGGATGGAATTGTTGAATTTACCGTAAAAGCTCTAATTAAAGTACTGGACGTCTATTTTTCAAAGGGTCAATTTAAGCGGGCTTATATTAGATATGGGCTTCTATTAGGGAATGGGTGTTTATTTTTCGATGGACCTCCTTGGGTGTGTTTGTATTGGATATAAGCTTCTAATAGAGCCGGGCTTTAATTAGAGCATTTACTTTAATTAGAGCAAAAAAATATTTTTCAGATTTACAATTTTATTATCAAATATTTTGATTATTATAAGAACCACAAACAAGTAAAAAAATATTTTTTAAAAATAAATTTAAATTTTTTTAGCGTTCTGATTGGCAAAATTTAATAAAATATATTTTACATTCTGATATAAATATTAATTTTGTTAAAGTAGACAAGGAAAAGTTTAATTTAAAAACTTTATTAAAAAAATCTAAAAAATTGTTGTGTTGTTCAGAAATGATTGATAACGAGTAAATTAATTTTTAAATTTAATTATTATTTTTTTAAATTAATAGGATAACCGAAGAAAGTGTTTATTGGAAAACAAACTTTTGAAGGGATGAGGGGTACATGAATGAATGAATTCTAAATATTTCTTTAAAATAATGAAAAAATTTTCAACATTTTTGTATAATTTCTCCAAAATCTAAATAAACTTTTTATAAATAAATATATAAACCCATGAAAATATTTTTATCCATATTTATTTTCCAAAAAAAAGAAAGATTTACCTTTAGAATAAACGAAAAATTTTTTTAAAAATTATTTTAAATAAAGTAAAGATAAATTTTTATTCATATTCTAGGACACGCACTGATTAGTAATGACATCACATTTTAATGGGGGGCAACAACCATTATTGGAACAATAGGCATTCTGACTATCACATTTTTGGCATTTACCGTTTACACATCCTGAACCTGTAGAAGACGAAAATAAATTTATTTATTTTTAAATAAATTAAATTTGCTCGCAACTCTCATTAACTTGAGAATTTTAGTGCCCGAAAGGCACACAAAAACTGTCTAACCTTTATTTAACCCCGGGTTCGGATCGAGAAAATGTTAAGTGTACATAAGTACAAAAAGTTCAATTTGGAATTAAATAGGAGAAAAATTTTCAAAATATAATTACGCTACAAAAAAATTTTTTAAACTTTTTTAGCGTCGAAGGCGAGACTTTTGAGAATTTTGGAGGTTTTTAAGCCAGATTTCTGGAATTTTTTGCGCCACGCAGGAAAATTTTGGAAATTTTAAGGTTAAATTTAATTTTTTAACTAAAAGTCTATTTGTAAGTAGTGTACTTCCAAAATATTTGCGAATTCGAACCCTGATTTAACCATATTATACATACCAATCCCCAACATACTAATCCCCAACTAATTTTTCCCTCTCAAACAGAAAAATTATTCTTAGCCATACCAAAACAACATCCATCATCTTTTTGACATTTGTTCCCATCTTTGACACAAGGAGCATTGGAACAATAAAATTTGCCCAAAGATTTTTTGCAAGATAAGTTATCACAGCATTTTCCGTTTCCACAATTACCAAAATGTTTACTACATTCTTAAGAATAAATTACTTAGGGCTCGGAATTGTTTTGAAATATATTTTTTCCAAAATGTGTATATTTCGGCTAGAGAAGCTAAATATGCCATTCTCATATTGTGATTTTGAACGAAGTTACATTTCAATATATTTCAATATTTTTCCAATTTTCCAGTTATTTCAATACTTGGCACTTTTTTCAATCCCTCTAATTATTCCCTAGAATGGCGCTCAGCCCTTATTGAAAAGACGCGCCCCAGTATACAGGTGCTTTACCGACTGAGCCTCTGGGACGCTGCCTTCTCTGTTAATAGTCCTAAACCCCCGTCTTGTGAGCGTTTTAAATTCTAGCCAGCTGGATCTTTCTCTTCCTTACAATATTTCTCTTCAAAATCATACCATTCGAACAATGCCCTCCCGTTTTGTCAATATAACAACCATATCCGGGGCAGCAATCGCTAGTTTTACTGCAAACGTCCTTGAGTTGACCACATTGTTTGCTGGATTGAAATAAAATAGGTACTATAAAAATTGAAATAATCAAGAGTTTGATTGAAGCCGACATTTTTTAAATTTATTTTTTAGAAGTTCAACTCACAATCTGAAAAATAAAATTAATTTTTGGCAAATTATTACAGTAAATTATTTGGTAAAAATTATCAGATCAAATTTATACGCATCAGTACGACGAGTTCAGACAATAATATTATATAATAAAATAAATAAGATAGACGTAAACAAATAATTTTCTTAATTTAAAAGGTGTTTAAATGTCTTTTAAGGTGATTTGGGAGTAAGTCAATAAATTGGGATATAGCAAAAGTGACTTGGCCCGATTAAAATGATTGGGGGTTGAATTGCGCACATGTTAAGGAATAAACAGTGCACGGTACGGTACAGAATACCGAGTACTAGTTTAAATCATTGAGTTCTACGAGTTCTGGATTAAAAAGGATATCGAGAGATTTGGAGAATTCGAAAGCGTTGAGAATGTGTATTTAGTAGGGTTTTTAGTAGGTTTATTAACCGGTACCTCCGGTTTTCGTTTAATCTAAACTTTGGAAATCCGGTTTTCGGTTTTGAGTTTTAGGCAAATATCGGTTTTATTTTGGTTTAATTTTTGATAAAATCACTCATTTTCACAAATTTCCGGTTTTCGGTTTTTCAAACTTTCTAAAAACGGCTAATTTTTGGCAAAAAAATTCAAAAATTCCGGTTTTAAAACCGGTCGCCAACAACCCTAGTATTTAGCCAAAGCTTTGATGTTGACTAATCTCTAGAGATAGTCTCTACTAATCTCTAGAGATAGTCTCTACTAATCTCTAGAGATAGTCAATAATCTCATATTCCCTCTGAAGGAATTAATATTAATTTTTGGAGATAATAAAGAAAATTATTAAATAAAATTAAAAATGATATGGCCAAGGCAGATACAAAATCATTTTTAAAAGCTTCGTACAAACAATAAAATATAAAAAATTTTATAAAAGATTGCTTGGGATTTAAAATTTGGCTTTTTTATTATTTAAACAGCAATAAAAATAAAAGCTTTTAAATTTAAAATTAATTATCAAGCAAGAATTTCTAAATATAGTTTTAAAAATTCTTTTTCTATTTACCTAAAAAGGCATCTAACGCAAGTTTAATATGTCGCAATTGAAGAAATGGCAGTGTTCACGTGAAAGTGAATATGTACAGGCATAATAATAAAAGAAAAATTAATTTTTTTGAAGAAAAAAATCCTCAAAAATCAATTATCAACGTGGCTATGAAATGAAAGAAGTGAAAAGAATTATGGCCATAAATTTAAATATCTTTTAAGCAATGAGTGAATGTTTGGGTAAAGCAGAGGCTATAGCTATTTCTCTCCTTCAGCTAAATGTTATTCGACGGCTGGTAGCTAATCAGCATCTTCAGTAGACCGGACTTTTCTGTTTCCATTCTTCATGCCAGCTTATTCTGGGCATTTGGAATCTAAAAGCTAGATGCTTTACATTTATTTAAATTATTTAAATAAATTTTAAGAGCAACAACAAATAAACAATCTAAAGAATTTGGAGAGCCTGTAGAGATCTTGAATAGGGGCGTTTCCAAAAAACTGAAAAAATCAGATTAGTAAATTATGTTGTTAATCATCATTAATTCCACTGCTCAATTATCCGTTCACTTCCCAAATGTCCACTCTCCAAATCTCCGGGAGCCTATTGTTTATGCAGTTCTCCCCCACCCAATGGAGATAAAAGTCTCTTAAATAGAAGACCACGATCTTTGAAACGATTCGGAAATCGTCCGAGGTCGGACCATGTCAGTCGGGACTAGGAAATAGGATCTCATTTCAATAATTTTTAAAATTTAAAAAAATTTTTAAATCCGCAATTTTCAAATCCTGAAATTATCGTCAGCATTTATCCTTCGGAACACCATACAAAAAAACAAAAGAAAAATTACAGACTTCTATATTTATCACAACATTCTCTATATATTTTTATTTCGAATCTTTCATATCTCCCTTCATCTTATCCATATTTTCTTTCGTTTTCACAACCATATAGCATATGAACCAGATACAGGCAAAGATAAGAACACTGAAAATTAAAAGAAATTTTTTTTTCTGTATTTCAAAAATAATTTCTTACCATATTCCAGCCACAATTATAAGTTTTTCTTTAAGACTCAATTTATTTTCTATCAAAAGCTTGTATTTGCTACTCTTGGGCTGAAATTATAAAAATAAATGAAAATTTTTAATTTACAGTCAGATTTCAATTGTAGATACACCCTTTGGAATGGAACAATTTTATCTTATAATGAGGTGTATATTAAATAGAGAGTATCGCTTAAGCAACGCCTCCATCTAGTGGACTACCTAATTTAAAAAACGTCTCTAAAATAGAGGTGTATCTAGTATTGGGTGCATGTTATATTGAGGGTTTAATAAAGAGGTACATTAAATAGAGGGTATGGTTTAGGAAACCCTCGCTTAGAAGCCTAGCTAATTTTAAAAGAATGTCTCTTAAATAGAGGTGTCTCTAGTATTGTGTGCATCTATTGAGGGTTTTGAACGAGATGTACATTAAATAGAGGTTATCGCTTATAAAACCCCCTCCGAAAGAAGCCTGCCTACTTTTAGAAAACGTCCCTTAAATAGAGGTGTTCTAGTATTGGGTGTCTCTACACAAGAGGTCTGACTGTTGATTTTTTAAACTTACAATTCTAAGTTGAATATTACACTTGGGTCCATTTGGCGCTTTCCTTGTAATACTTTTCCCTCCTTGGTGTTGGAAAGCTGCTTTTTGTGGCAGCAGATATAAGGAAAGCAGACGGTAGTAGGTAACTTCTTCTTCCGTGTATTTGATCTCCCAAGTCATTGGATTTAATCCGTAAATTTTGCTCTGCTTGACACTGTTGCAGACAAAGGGTGGGTTACAAGAATCGAAAGAAACACTACACTGATCATCTGTTGGACCCAACCTAAACCAGATAATTTTGTCATCAACATGCACGTCGACTGAAGACATTTTATTGTTGATTCCATCAAATTTTTGGGGGCATTCACATACATTAGGCTCTCCAACTAGAAAAAAATTTGTTTGATTAGAAAGTTTCCTTCCAAAAATCTCACCCTGTTGCATGGCCACATGGACTCTATCTCCTTTATAGCCCCAACCAATCTCCAACCCTTCAGGCTTCAAGCACTCCCCACTTCCGTTGCTGCAAGCAACCTGGTTATCACAAAAAGCGTGTTCATTGTATGGTCCTTTTTTGAGTTTCTCAAAACGTTCCAAATCAATGCTGTGGGCGAAGGGAAGCCTGAAAAATGCATACAAGGTTTTAACTCAAAAATCTTTTTCCTACAGATTGGCATTAATTCCATCAGGCATTTCTTCAAGACATTCTTTTAGTTCCTTGTCGTCGTTGCTCAGAGTGGCTGTGAACTCAAGCTTAAAAGCAAGATATTTATGCATTAGATCCACAACACATCCAGTCTCCCGAACACTGTTGTAGGTGAGAACACTTAAAATTAAAAATTTTAAGATTTTTGCGGACAGAATTTGCGGACAGAATTTTTGCGGACAAATTTTTGCGGATAAGATTTTGCGGACAAAAATTCCCCTCAAAAATCTCCCTCAAAAGTGAGCTCCCTTTCATAAACTTACATATCCCCATTATCATCAAACTTCACATCACAAGCATTCTCGGTTCCAACGTAATCCTTGAGGTCTTCGTTGTTTTCCGCGATTCTGAACTTGCGATCTGATATTGTTATTTTGTTCCCAACCAGAGTGTGTCGACCATAACCAACAACAGTATCAGCCACAGAACATTTATGTGATGTCCAAACAGCCAACAAGACAATGGGAAGAAAAGCTTTACGAAGCATTTTTGGAAGAACAATTGTTTTTAGCGGAAAAGAACAATGGGCTAAATTTCTATGCTTTTATAGTGCCTATGTTTCATTGTTCAAGTATTTGTTCCTTTATTTGAGATTAAATTTGAGGATTCATTTAGAAACGATCAGAGAAAGTGCCTAGTATTATCAGTAATACTAGATACACCTTTATCTAAGAGACGTCCTTTAAATTTGTTTCCTTGCCTGATGTAGGATATGCCTAGGTACCCGGGATCTAGCCGACATAAAAGAAAATCTCTTTTCATGAATCGGGAATTCACGACAATGATTTAATTCACAATTTTCGGGAATCGGTGTCATTCTATTGGGTAGGGGGCATTCAAATTGAGGGGCATACTATTTGTGATAACACGATACTTTAAGACTAGCTTTATCTGCCTTGATCATTTTGTAATTTTTAAAACAGAAATAAGGAGAAGAAAAGAAAGATACAGGTATGCCAAAGTAATATCCTCTCTATTTAAGACACACTTTATTATAAGATAAAAATTTTCAGCCCCACGGGGGTATTTTAACTGAGAGTATTTTTAAAATTTAATTTTGTATTTAATAAAAATTTTTTATTAATTGCTACATGACTTTTGATCCATTCAAAAAAAAATTTTTTTCTTTTTTAATTTTGAACCAAACTTAATATTGTTTATTTTAATTTGTTTGGTTTTCCTCCCTTTCTTTATATTCTAATTGAACCACAATGCTTATTTGAACCAAAATTTCCAAATTTTTCAGAAGAAATTTTATTTAATTGACTAAAAATTAGTTCAAAAAATTAAAAAATTTTCCTTTCTTCTCTTTTTAAATTATTTGGACAAACAAAATTTTTGAAAAGATTTAAATATATTTAAATCCTGACTTGAAAACTTGACATAATCACTTTTACTTAAGAAGAGAAATAGCCCCAGCTCTGCTTTTCCCAAACATTCACTCATTGCTTAAAAGATATTTAAATTTATGGCCATAATTCTTTTCACTTCTTTCATTTCATAGCCACGTTGATAATTGATTTTTGAGGATTTTTTTCTTCAAAAAAATTAATTTTTCTTTTAAAATGTACCCAAAATTTTATTTATTCAAATGTCATTTAATAAAATTGAGAAATTTTTTTATTAAAATAATTTTTTTCTTATTAATTTTATTAAATATCATTTGAATAGACAAAAAGTTTCGGTACATTTTTGTAGAAAAATTGTCCTTATAAACTTTTAGAGGAAAGACACCACAAGGCTCACTTTATAAAATTTCTTAAATTTAAAGCAAGGTACCTCCCTCATTCTGTAAAACAATTGAAAGGAGTATACCGGAAGTGGCAATAAATGCCAGTTAACGAACAGACTAGCCCGTTCATTGACATACACCTCAACTTTAATCGGGCCACCCGAAATCCTGACTTTTTTTTACCTGAAACCGTATCTGAAGAAAATTTTTAAACCCCACCAGACTTTTTCTCAACCCGACCCATCACTGATTTAGTCTTTTCTAAATCAATTTTAATGGCTGAAAAAATTGAGGGAATTTTTCTCGGGGAATTTTATTTGATTTTTTTTTGGATTTTTGTCAAAAAATTCAGGTTTTTTTTAAAAATTCTGGTCCAACTCTACTTTAAACTATAACAAAATTTAATGTAATATTTTACTTACAAAAAAATGTTAAATGAATTTTTAAATTAATTTTATTTCCAGATTTTTATTTTAAATATTAAAAATTAAATTTAAAAAAAATGACGCCTTCAACCAAACTTTTGATTATTTCAATTTTTATTTTATTTATTTCATTTCAATTAATTTATTGCTGCGGCACATATGGCCAGCCCTGCGATAAAGGTTGCTGCCCAAATTTAAGATGTTCTGACGCTTATGATGTTGATGGGAATGTTGTGGGGCGAGCTTGTTTTGATGTGCTTGGTTAAATTGAAAAAAAATTTTTCTTTCTATTTTCCTCTATTTTTGAAAATTTTGGTTACTTTCTTTCTTTTTTCTAATTTAAATTTAAATTGAATTGTGGATAAAACATGTGTTTGGGAAAAAAATTTTTTTATCAATCGACATCACTTGTAACATCCATCTTAAGAGATTAAACTAAGAAGCAACAATCATAATATAAAACTTCTGAATTAAGAGAAGCCTCAGACCAAAGACTCGAGTTAAAAAATGAATTTTATACATATAGGGCGCATAATTTAAAGAATTTTCCCTCAACGTACTAAATATGTATTCTTTAAATTAAAGTATTTTTAATTTTCTTAATAAAAAATTCACTCATTTTACCGTGTCTTTCACACTGAAAACCAGGCAATGAAACGACCATTAATTTGAATTACTTTCTTCAAATTGATGGTCGTTTCATTGCCGCGAGTTCAGTGTGAAAGACACGGTAAAATGAGAGAATTTTTTATTAGTCTTACAATTAGTGTTAGATTTATTATTAAATTAGAAAACAAATAAATCAACAATACAGAAACAAGAATCCAAACAAAATTTTATTCAAAAGTACTTTCCCCCTTGGATCTTTCTTCAACTTTGGTTGACATCCTTTTATCATCCATTGTATCGTTAACAGTTTGTTTGCCTACAACAGTCGTCCCCTCACCAATATTTGTGCTCGAAACATATTTCTTTACTTGAAGGTCTGTAGCATATGTAACTTGTGTTGGTGTATCATCATAAGTCGGAGAAGCCTCAAGTTTTGGTTTGCCTCGATCGGCAATCATATACGAGTCTGTACTTCGAGCGGTTGCCATTTTAACTGTTTGATTCTTTTCGCTCTTCTTGCAACATAGAGATAGACAGAGGAGAAGGACGATAAAAGTAACAATGCTGAAATTTAAAAAATTGTCAAGGACCCTAACTAAGAGAGGTCCGAGGAGAGAGACCTATGAGAGCTAAAGGGTCTGCTTTTACTAATTTTCAGAGGGCACCGAAACCCATCGGAAATATTTCCGTCTGGAAACTCACAATATCACAATGCTGACTACAATGACAATAATAAATGTTTTGTTATTAGAAGGCAGAGAAGGAGAAGAAGGTTCCCCTCTAGTTGTTGTTTCCATTTGATTTTCTGTTGTTTTTGTTGTTGTCGTAGTCCCAGCCGTTGTTTTAGTCGTTGTTGTTATTTTTGTTGTTGAAGTAGTTGAAGGAATTTCTTCATGTCCATGCATTAAAAGCTTGTATTTTGTCCCGTTCTGCAAAAATAATAAAATATTTTTAAGGCCAGACCTCATTCTGAGATATCGCTTTTGGGGCTACAAGGGATACTCATAAACAGAGGATATGGCTTAGACAGCTCCCTAATGGTCAACCAAATTTTAAAAACGTCTCTTAAATCGAGATTTAGTTTAAGATCCACTCACAAATTTAGCAAAAATATTGCATATTGGCCCTTCAATTTTAGTTGTTTTATTAATCCATAACACATCTGAACGAAATACTGACGCTTTTTGAGGTAGGAGATAAAAAACAAATAAATATTTGTATTTCTCGTTTAAAAATGTTTTGTCTTCAATTTTCCAAGCTTTCGGTTTGATTATTCCTTCGTCCGAAAGACATGGATTTTGAAGACAGGAGAAATAGGGCCTTCCATCAACCTGTGTCTCATTCTGGCCAACCGATATTTTGAAGTGAGAAGACCGTTTGTTTATGCTTTCATGTTCATTAACAGCACTACATACTGAGGGACTGCCAACTGAAACAATAAAAAATGTCAAAAGGTAAAAACGAGAAAATGACAGGCCTAGAAAGTGTCCCTATTTTACGTGTAAATATCTCACTTGGCATCCAGTTTGAAGATACAAGCTGCACAGTACTTTTTTTCGACCATCCAATTTCCAGTCCAGTTCGTTGCAAGCATCCTCCGTATTCTTTTACACAATGGGCTTTTTCAGAACAACTAATTTTATCGTTATAGGGTGGTCCTTTTGAAAGAGTTGCGAACCAGCCAATATCAATGCTATAAGCAAATGGAAACCTAAAAAATCGAAGAAATTTAAAAGGAACTAAAGAAGCCGCTTTTACATATTTGAATTAATCCCATTAGATGTTGCTATAAGACATTCCTTCAATTCCTTGTCGCCATTATCCACGGTAGCGTTAAAAACGAATTGACCATCCCACGAATCTATCAGTAGATCAGCAACGCATCCCGTTTCTTTGACTTTGTTGTAGTTCAAAGTGCTTTAACGAAAAATTGGCTTAAAGTGGAAGCTTTTCACTTACATGTCTCCATTCTTCTCGTCAAAGGCAACATTGCAAGAATTCGGGCCTTTGTACTCCTTGAGATCTTCGTTGCTTTTCACAATCCGTTTTGCTGTACCCATTATCTGGATTATATCCCCATTTAAAATGTGATGACCGTAGCCCACATAACTTATGTTGGAGACGACAAAATCTGGCCAAACAGCCAACAGAACGAAGAGAATAGCAGAGCCTCCAAGCATTTTGTATAAATTACTTGAAGGATGTAGAGAAGGATGTTTTGGTGTTGGGATATGAAATAAACTTGTTTCTGTGTTTTTATAGTCAACAAAACATATAAAAGCCGACAACATTCAAAACATTTATTCAAACCTATCTTCAAACAAAATCCACAGCTTTTTTCTGTTTCTAATTTGCCCTACAAACAATTGTTCTTCCAACAATGCTTCGTGAAGCTTTTCTTCTGTTGTTTGTTTGGACATCGCTTAAGTGTTCTACTATGGCTGATGGGCCTACTATTGTTGGATATGGTCGACATACTCTGGTTGGGAACAAAATAACTGAGTTTGGCAATGCTAGCAGGATCGCAGAAGACAACGAAGACCTCAAAGATTATATTGGGACTGAGAATGCCTGTGATGTAAAGTTTGATGAAAATGGGGATATGTAAGTTTTAGAAGGGTGGATTTTTAAGGGGAATTTTTGTCTGGCATCTAATGATTTTTAATCTTAAGTGTGCTCAACTACAACAGTGTTCGAGAAACGGGATGTGTTGTGGATCTAATGCATAGATATAATAGTTTTGCGCTTGATTTCACAGCCACTCTTAGCAACGACGACAAGGAAATAAAAGAATGTCTTGAAGAAATGCCTGATGGAATAAACGCCAATATGTAAGATCAAATTTTTGATAAAAAATTCTTTTGCTCTTTTTTAGCGTTCCCTTCGCCCACAGCATTGATTTGGAACGTTTTGAGAAACTCAAAAAAGGACCATACAATGAGGACGCTTCTTGTGATAACGCAGCTGCTTGCCGCAGTGGAGGTGGGGAGTGCTTGAAGCCTGCAGGGTTGGAAATTGGTTGGGGCTATAAAGGAGATAGAGTCCATGTGGGCATGCAACAGGGTGAGATTTTTGAAGGAAGCTATCTAATCATACAAAAAAATTTTCTAGTTGGGGAGCCCAATTTGTGTGAATGCCCTCATAAAAACGACCGAATCAACCTTAAAGAGTCTTCATTCGAAGTGCATGTTGATGATCAAATTAGCTGGTTTAGTTTGGATCCAGTAGAGAGACATTGTTATGTTCATTTCGGCCTCTGTAGACCGCCTTTCGTCTGTAATAGTATCAAGTCGACAATGTTTGAAATTGAAGGATTAAGTCCAATGACTTGGGAGATCCGCTACAGAGCGAGCAAATATACTTACTACAACCGTCTGCTTTCCTTATATTTGCTGCCACAAAAGGCAGCTTTCCAACATCATGAAGGGAAAAGTATTACAAGGAAAGCGCCAACTGGGCCTAAATGCAATATTCAACTCAGAATTGTAAGTTTAAAAAATCAACATTCAGACCTCTTTTGTAGAGACACTCAATACTAGAACACCTCTTTTTAGGACCGTTTTCTAAATTTGGCAGGCCTCTTTTGGCGGGAGTTTCCTAAGCGATTACAGCTTTCCAACATCATGAAGGGAAAAGTATTACAAGGAAAGCGCCAAATGGACCCAAGTGTAATATTCAACTTAGAATTGTAAGTTTAAAAGTCAGATTAAAAACCTCAATATTGTAAATACACCCGATACTGGATACACCTCTATTTAAGGGTGGCGGATCCCGGATGATTTGACCTTTTCGAACCGAAATTTTCTGATATCCTATCCTTCTCAGATTCAGATCCTCCACCTCGCCTATCTAAAAGAGCTTTTTTAAAGTCCATTAGGTGGGGGAGATCTCTAAGCAATACTCTCTGTTTAAGATAGACTTAAAATGACTTTTAAAATTTAATTTCAGAATGGCAAGGAATACAAGCTTCTAATAAACGATAAACGCGATCTTAAATGGATTCTCCTCATTGCTATGATTCTGCTAATGTAAGGAGATTATTTTTGAAATTCGAAAAAATTCTCTTATAATTTTAGCTTAATTTGCCTTGCTGGTATCGGTTTCGTCATCTATATGAATGCAAAAACGAAAGAGGACATGGATAAGATGAGACGAAATATGAACTGAAATTAGGGTTGCCAAAATGGACCGACTCGGACCGAAAGATCGAGTCATGCCTCGATGTTTGGCCCGAAAAAGTCTCGTACCGGCCCGACTCGATAAATTTAGGCCCGAAAAAGACTCGTAACGGCCCGACTCGATAAAGTTAGGCCCGAAAGTGACTCGTAACGGCCCGACTCGATAAAAACAGGCCCGAAAAAAATTGTCTCGGAAAAAGTCGGCCCGACTCGAACGAGACTCGTTAATATTTTTACCAGATTTGTGAACAAAAATGGGAGAAATCTGGCTCCCTGGCCTTCCAAAATTCGAAAAATTTTCGCCTGCGGCGCTGAAAAAGGAACAAATTTGTCTTTAGCCTTCCGAATATCTCTAAATTTTTGCCTGCATGAAGGATTTTTATCTCCATACTTTGCTTAACATCTCGAACTTACTGGCTTTAATTGATAAGCTGGATTACTGGGAGTTATGGTATATATTCCGCGGGATCCCGTCATAATTTGAACTTTTGAAACTCAATCAGTTTTGAGAGTCCACAATTTTCCGCAGTCCGCAATTTTAACCTTAAAATACGCAGTCGTAGTCTTCAGTCCACAAGTCTTCCATTTTTAGCGCCGCAGGCAAAAATTTTTTTAAATCTGAGGGTTGTAGGCGAAAAAATTTCACTTTTTCGACCATTCTTCTACTACTTTTTCCCCCTTTCCCCTATTTCGGGGGGGGGGCTCTAGCCCCGCCCCCAGCCCCCCTGGATACGCCCTTGGATTAAGCGTGTATTTAATTGGTACCAGTGATTAGGAGGTATATCATTGATTTCATCTTTTTTTTACCGCTGGAGTCGAAAAGTTTAAGACTTTTGGAAGACTAAGTGGCCAGATTTCTTCCTTTCTACTGTAATTGAAGTGATAAAGAAGCTGTAGGAGAAATTATGATGCATTTCGAGCATTAACAAGGATACGAGGAATTTTAGCATACAGCGGGATTTTATTAAGGGATTTGGTGATTAATGCACGATATCCCCGATATCCCTTCAAATCTCCTCATTCCTTCTAAATCCCATTACAATATATCACATTAATCATCTGATATACGATCCTGAACCTCTTAATCATCTGATCTCCTTTAATAAAACCAAATCTAGCAATATCTCACATCAATCCTCCGATAATTTAAATCACCTTAATCCCTCAAATCCACTGATATCCATTTCAATTCTCTTCAGCCCTTCCTTTACCCTCCTGATCCATCGATATACCTTTTAATTCAGAGATATCCCTCCAAATCCACTAATTATTTTTAAATAAATCTTTTAAAAAAAGACTCGATAATGTCTCGGTGCCCGACTCGATAAAGTCAGGCCCGAAAGTGACTCGTTCCGGCCCGACTCGATAAATTTAGGCCCGAAAAAGACTCGTATCGGCCCGACTCGATAAAGTTAGGCCCGAAAAAGACTCGTTCCGGCCCGACTCGATAAAAACAAGCCCGAAAAAAAATGCCTCGACCGTCGGCCCGACTCGAAAACGGCAACCCTAACTGAAATGATGAAAAATATACATAATATATAGGGTGATAAATAAAAAAATTTTTTCCTTTGTATAGGTTGTTAAAGTGGGAATAAATGTTAGATGATATATCGAATGTAGATATTCACTTTTTGGGGTATCGCTTCGATATCTTCGTCTAATTTACAACCAAATTTTAAAATTTAATATTGAGACAATCTACAAGTTAGATCCGACCATGTTATGAATTTTAATATTTAAAAGTTCGCTTTGCCAAGAAAAAATTCTGAAACCTCTTTTAACCTCACAAAAACCCCAAAAACAAAAAACCCATTTTATATATAAAGTTTTTGCTTCGAAATATCCCTTCTCTCATCTTTTTATTGTTCTCCCCCTTAAAAAATAATTTTTACTCCTTTTTCATTACCGTAGATCCCTAGCTTTTCACTTACATGTCTCCATTCTTTTCGTCTGAAGTAACATTGCAAGAATTCGGGCTATTGTACTCCTTGAGATCCGTCTCGCTGTAGCACTATTTGGATTATATCCCCATAAATTATATGGAGAAGACAAAATCTGGCTAACAGAATGAAGAGAGTAGCAGAGACTCCCAGCAATTTGTGTAGATCACGTGAAGGAACGATTTGTTGTTTTGACTCTTGTTTGAATGTTTGGAAAGACTCCAAAAGTTTTTGTGTTTTTATAGTCAACAAAACATATAAAAGCCAACAACATTCTAATCTCCCAAAAACAATTGTTCTTCCAAAAATGTTTCGTGAAACTTTTCTTCCCATTCTTCTGTTGGTTGTTTGGACATCGCTTAAGTGTTCTACTATGGCTGATGGGCCTACTATTGTTGGTTATGGTCGACATACTCTGGTTGGGAACAAGATAACAGAGATGGGCAAAGCTACCAGGATCGCAGAAAACAACGATGACCTCAAAGATTACATTGGAACTGAGAATGCCTGTGACGTGAAGTTTGATGAAAATGGGGATATGTAAGTTTGAAGGGGATTGACTTAAGCTTTGTCCGCAAAATTTTGTCCGCGAAAATCTAATGATTTTTAATTTAAGTGTGCTCAACTACAACAGTGTTCGAGAGACGGGATGTGTTGTGGATCTAATGAACAGATATGTTGGTACTTCGTTCGGATTCACAGCCATTCTGAGCAACGACGACAAGGAAATAAAAGAATGTCTTGAAGAAATGCCTGATGGAATTAATGCCAATCTGTAAGATCGAATTTTTTGATTCAAAACTTGTATTCATTTTCAGAGTACCCTTCGTTTATGGCATCGATTTGGAACGTTTTGAGAAGCTCAAAAAAGGACCATACAATGAGGACGTTTCTTGTGCTAACCAAGTTGCTTGCCGCATTGGAGGTGGGGAGTGTCTGAAGCCTGCAGGGTTGGAAGTTGGTTGGGGCTATAAAGGAGATAGAGTCCATGTTAGCATGCAACAGGGTGAGATTTTTGGGAAGGAAACTTTCTAATCAAACAAAAATTTTTTCTAGTTGGAGAGCCCATTTTGTGTGAATGTCCTCAAAAATTCGATCGAATCAACATTAAAAAGACTTCAGTCGAAGTGACTGTTGATAGTTGGCTTACCTACTTTAAATTGGATCCAACAGTGGATCATTGTAACGTTTATTTCGGACTTTGCAAACCGCCTTTTGTTTGTAATAGTGTCACGTCGAAAATGCTAGTTCAAATTGAAGGATTAAATCCAGCGACTTGGGAGAATCACTACAGAGTGAACAGATTTACTTGGTTCGACCGTCTGCTTTCTTTGTATCTGCTGCCACAGAAAGCAGCTTTCCAACATCGTGGAGGGAAAATTAAAAGGGAAGCGCCAAATGGGCCAAAATGCAATATTCAACTTAAAATTGTAAATTTAAAAGCCAGATTAAAAACCTCTTTTGTGAATACACCCAATACTGGATCTCTATCTAAGGGTGGCGGATCCTGCCAAATCTTCGTATACCGTATCCGAACCGAAATTTTCGGATATCCTATCTTTTTTCAGATCCAGATCCGTCAACCTTACCTCTATCTAACAAGGAAAGGTTGCGAGGTGTCTGACATAAAAATAGTCGAGAGCGGACACCAAATCCAAATCGGCATAAGATTCTTGCTAGAAAGGGCACATTCTCTATCGTATGAGCTCGGTCTCGACCGTTTTTAGGTCGGACACCTCGCAACCTTTCCTTACAAGAGAGCTCAAAAAGTTGTCTGTCCATTAGATGGGGATGATCCCTAAGCAATAATCTTTCCTTAAGAAAGACTTAAAGTGACTTTAATTTTAAAAAATTTAATTTCAGAGTGGTGCAGCATACAAGCTTTTGATAAATGATAACCTTGGTTTTAAATTGATTATTTTTGGTATTGTAATAATGTAAGATAATTTTTTGAAATTCGAAAAAAATTTCTTTTAATTTTAGCTTAATTTGCCTTGCTGGTTTCGGTTTCGTTATCTACATGGGTGCAAAAACGAAAGAGGAGGATAAGAGACGAAATATGAATTGAAAAATGAAAAATATATATTTTTGTGATAAATAAAATTTTTCCTTTGTATAGGTTGTTAAGGTGGGAATAAAAGTGATATGATATATCAATGTAGATGTTTACTTTTGTAAGGATGATTCAAATTGAGAATTTAAAATGCTTAGGCGGGGGTTAAACGATCTAGAAGGATAAAAGTTAAAGCATTAGTCGTCGCCCCAGTAGCTCAGTGGTAGAGCTTCTGTATATGGAGTGAGCAAGGCCGAGGGAGCTTTTTCAGAATTGTCTCAGGTTCGAGAATCCTGCCCGGTGGCTAAAGTTATGCTAAATTCTTTCTCTTTTTGGATTATCGCTTAGATATCTCCCCCTATTTAATATTGAGTCTATCTACAAGATAGATCCAACCATTTAGTGAATTTTAATATTCAAAAGTATATATTTAAAACAAAATATTTTTTTAATATTTAAAACAAAAAACCTATTTATAAAAATTTTTTGCTTCCTCATTCGCTTTATTTCCCCTCTTATTTTATCACTCAACAACAACAATAAATTAATATAAACAAAAAAATTTTCTTCCTTTTTTATAAATTGCATGACTCCCTTTTATCATCTTTGCGTGTGTTCCTTTGTAAAATTAAAAATAGAGGAAACGGTCAACTAAAAATGGTTTTAGGCTTTGTCTTTTTAATGCTTTTTGCCGTCTTGACTTTTTTTCTTTTAAATGCTCTTCTTTTATTGTTAGAGGCAGGATAAATTTTGACGCAATGTCGATTGGGCGTTTGCTTATAAAATGATTCAAAGAGCACCTAAAATTGTAAAAATTTGCACAGATCTTGATGATACTATTATCCAATCACTCTGAAAATTTCATGATTTTTGGTTCATTATTTTTAAAGTTATGGTCAATTATTACCAAATTTAAGCTAAATTCTTCACCTTTCTTACAACTTTCTCTCATAACTTTTGAAATACTTAACCCAACATTTTAAAATTTTTAGAGGCACTAGATAACACTATAAGCTATATCTATGCAAAATTTCAGGAAATTTGGTCATCATTCCTTCGAGATATAAAGCGCGGCGCCTTTGCACTTCCGCGCCGAAACATCCCCTTCTTTCCTCTTTTTATTGTTCTCCCTCTTAAGAAAATAATTTTTTACATCTTTTCCATTTCCGTTGATCCCCTAGGGATTTTTGGGGCATTTTTACTTTCCGTCCCATTTTTCTTTTGTTTTATTCTTCAACTCAGTTTTAAAAAAGGCTTAAAGAAAATGCCAATAAAATATAACAATTCCCTTCTTTTAATGTATATCCATCAAAAAATAATTTTTTAAAGGGGAAGTTTGTATATTTTATTACTTTTTTTCTTAAAAATGTTCCCAAAATAATTTTTAAAAATTTTAAAAAAAAATTAAATTAATTTTAAAACACTTTTCGGTTATCTCCATACATTTTACTTTTCTTCTCTTTACTTTTCTCCTTTTTCCTAAATGTACAAAATGGTCAAAGTCAATTAATAGTGCAGTGAAGTAACTAGCTTCTGCAATTAGAACGGAAGCTGCTCTATTTAGGGGTTTACTCATTCTTATCTAGGTACACACCCAACGTACCGCAGCTATAACTTACCGTATTTACTCGATTAATTCCCCCGAGGAATTATTTTTTCAACCCATCCGTGTCATGGGGAATTAATAGAGGGTGGGGAATTATTTGAGTTTTGAAATTTGAACGTGTAGTAGGGTATTCAAGGGTGGGGAGTTATTTTTTCAACCTATCCCCGGGATGGGGAATTAATAGAGGCTGGGGAATTATTTGAGGGTGGGGAATTAATCGAGTAAATACGGTAGTTCAAAATTCTCAAATCCGGGACGCTCTGGTGTGGTTCGATTCAGGTCTTTGAGATGCATCAACCATACCAGGGGGTCTTTTGAAACAAGTTTAGCTCTGCAGTACATTGGCCTGCTCCCGGGTCTACTTACCCACAGTAGATTCTAAAACAGAGCCTAAGACTTGCTTAATTATTTGACTCTTGCCATTTTTAAATGAGGGCAAAAAGGGAGGAGAAGGAAAGGAGAATGAGAGGGTATACCGTATTTACTCAAATAATTACCCTCTCCCTATTAATTACCCCCTACAGCGAGAGATCGAAAAAATAATTACCCCGGGTAATTATTTCAGTAAATACGGTAACTGAAAAGGTACTAAATTTTATTTTTTTGTGTATTGTTTTTAATTTAAATCAAGCTTTAACTCAAATTTTCTTTTTATTCAATACATTTTCCCCTTTTTTACCCTTTTTTGCTCTTTTACTTTTTTACACAACAATTTTTCTCTTCACTGAATCCAAAAATAAATTTATATAAATAATCATGTATGTATATTTTTTGTTAGAACGTCATTAGCACATTAACAAATAAAAACAACATTTTTAAGTGCAAAATTGAGCGAGAATTTTATACTTTTATTTTTTGAAAATAAAAACTTGCCAAGCGAATTAATTCTAGGAAAATTGTAGTTGGGTAGTTAGGAATTTGTTGTTAGTAAATGTATTATTATTGGGGAATTCCACCCACCACTAAAAAATAAATTTATGTTTTGGGCAACTATTTGCAAAGGAGTGTTAAATTGAGGGAGAGGTGAGCTAATTATTATTAGTGTTATACCCCGTCCACGAAAAATTTTTTTAATTCACCGTCGCCCTCCCGTAGCGCTGCCTCCCCGAAAATTCTTTCCGTGGCCTAACCCCTCTCCTTCGGGGAACAACCCTAATTATTATGTTATGCTGTGGAAAAATTCATTGGGTGGAAAAAGAGGTCGATCGGAATTCCGATTTCCGACAGTTCCGATTTCCGGCACTTTGTCATTTCCGAAGGACCAACCCGAAGCACAACCGACTCCAACCCGATGCTGGGGGTTATTTTCATTTATATTCTTTCTGCAAGTAGGAACCAGAGGTGGGTCGGAATTCCAATTTCCGGCTCTTCCGATTTCCGACATCTCTGACTGTTCCGACCCACCTCTGGTGCGAACACAACACTAATTTTAAAAATCGTATTTACATGTAAGGCCCGACTTAGATTTTAAAAACTTTAATATTTTTTTCTAAAAATAAATTTAATTACGTCTTTAAAAGAATTTATTTCCTTTTTTTATAATTAATTAATTTAATATCCCCAATTTTTAAAAATTTTATTTATTTAAAAATATTCTAAAATAGTCAGTTGTTTAATAAATCAAAAAAATATTTTTAATATTTTAAAAGTTTAACTTTACACCAAAAAAGAAGGACAACTGTTTTTTGTCTACCCAAAAGAATTTTGAAAAAAAAAAACATTTTTATATACTCTAATTAATATCCCTAATTTAAGAAAATCTTTTTTTTGTTAAATTTTATAATGTGGACATACTACGAAACCGAAAGCTTTTCAAGGCTCGAGGTTTTCCAAGGCTCAAGGGGTTGGAAAAAAATCGGGCGGGTTCAGGGCGATTAAACTTGCGGCTGCAAGTTTGTCGGGTTTCGAGTCCAGCCAAGTCGGGTCGAAAAAAGCCCGTTTTCGGCTATCGGGTGGTAACTAAAGCTCGGGCGAATATGGTCATGATTTCGAATCACCAAAAATTTTGACTTTTACGCTACATAGAGGGGGGATAGTTTCTAAAAACTTCAAAGACGACCAAGACTTCCTCTTACAATCGAAAATTAAAGTCTCAAGAAAGCCAATAGTTTTGTATGTCTAATAAATTTTGTTAGCCAATTCTAGTGAATAACAAAGATCAAAGAATTTTCCAGCAACTATGGGCTTCTATAACCAGATTTTATTGTCAGACTAGATTTTAGTAGAAGCCTCAACAAAAATTTAAAAAAAATTTTTAATTTAATAATCTTTCTCTCTCTTATATTTTTCTACTCAATTTTCTCCTTTATTTTATTAAGTTTACACAAATTAATCAATTTATACCTTATTTTTTACGCCCCCCTTTCTTAAAAATTCTTTTGACTAAAACAGCTGTTTTCTCAACTTTCCTTCCTTTTCTTTTAAACTTTTTTTGTTGGCAATTCAAGAACTATTAACAAGAAAAAAATTTTTTTTTCAATTTTTTCTATATTTTCTGCCCTTTCTAAATATACTTATGAATTTATTAAATATTTAGGAGGGAGGGGGAGAGGGAAAAAAAAACTTTCCCCCCTCCCCTTCTCTCTACTGTGTTGTTGTCGTTTCTCCCTGTTTTTGTCTCTTTATTCCCCCCATATTTTTCTTTTATTTTTACCATTAATTCAATTGCAAATATTCCCCATAAATCCCCCATAAATCCCCAATAAAATTAGGGACAAAATTGGGGTAAGTGGAATTTTTTCTAATTTTTTTTCAATTTTTTAGAGAAATATAACTAAATTAATGAGTAAATTACCATAAAATAAAATAAAAAATTGAGTAATAAAAAAGGGAGAGAATTTTAAATTTATTTTTATGAGTAAATTGAAATGTTTATTTACTTGGTTATGATGCACTTTTAAAGTTTTTTGGTTGGAAAATCAATTAAATTAATTTTAAGTTTTGTTTTAAATTTTATTATGTAGATGACATTTTATCCCAGTTTTTTCGACTTTTTCCGAGTTGGAATTGTGTGAATTTTTAATTTTTGTGTGTCATCTTGTAGCCTAGAATCTCCTCTATCTTTTGACACTTAAATTGAATCTGAGTCTTTTTTTGAAGTAAAGTTATGGGGGTTTAACTAACCTACAGTGAATAATAAATATCATGACCAAACTTAAACAAAATTTTATATAATTTTGTATTTTTGACCTGAAAATTTTTTTCTTGGCTATTTTATAGCTCTGATTCTCCTCTATTTTTTGATATAATGCTTGGATTATTTCAAAATTTTTAAGGTCTAGTTACCTATTTTTAAACACCCCTTTTGCCTGTATTCAGACATCCTGTCCACATTTCTTCAAAAATTCACAACATTTTTAAACTTTGATTTTTCTGGCTAATTTTTAGCTTATTTTGTAGCCCAGATTCTCTTCTATTTTTTGATATAAAATTTTGATTTATTGATAAACTTAACCGCTAGTTATAGACCTAATAATCTCTTCTACTCGCATTTTAAAATAAATAATTATATTCCTCTTTTTAAATCTCTCAAAAAATTTTTAACTATTTAATTACCTACTTTTTAATAATATTTTCTATATTTAAATTTACCTAACAACCATTTAAATTTTGAAAAAAGAATGGGAGTCCTAAACAAAATATATTTTTTAAAGCATCCATAAATCCACTCACAGTTTATGTACTTATTTTTCCATTCATATTTTATTGCTTACATAATTTTATTTTTTAGAGTTGCAATGCTCTTTTCAATTTTTATCAATATTTTATTCAAAGTTTAAAAAATATGAAAAAAAAATATTTTTTTGGTTTTCAAAAAAAAAAAAATAAAAATTTTCAAAAATTTTTCAAATTTTTTTTTCAGAAAAATTTTTTAATTTTCAAAAAAATTTTTTAATTTTCAAAAAAATTTTTCAGAAAAATTTTAAAAATTTTCAAAAAAATTTTTCAGAAAAATTTTAAAAATTTTCAAAAAAATTTTTCAGAAAAATTTTAAAAATTTTCAAAAAAATTTTTCAGAAAAATTTTAAAAATTTTCAAAAAAATTTTTCAGAAAAATTTTAAAAATTTTCAAAAAAATTTTCTACCCCCTTTTAACGCCTTTCAGAAAATTTTTTAAGAATTTTCCAATTTTTTCAAAATTTTTATAATTAATTTTCCACTATTTTCCAGTCAAAATCTCTCGTCATTTTCCCTTCTATTTTGGCTATATTTAAAATGTCCTAATAAATTATTTAATTTAATTAAAGCTTAAATGTTTTTATTTATTTATTTAATTTATTTTCCCTTCCAATTTACACCATTTATCCAATTTCCGTTTTTAACTGGCTTTTGGGGGAAAATAAAAATAAAATTTTGTCCTTTTACAGTCATCATGGAGAGATTTCCCCCTTTTTCTCTCTCCCCTTTTTTTATTTTTTTAATTTAATTTTGGCAGATTTTTTGCTGAAGGGGTAAACATGCGTTTTTATTTTTTTCAGATTTACTTCCTTCTCTTTTCTCTCAATTTCTCTCACTTCTGAAGCTTCCAAAATATATCAAAGTCGAAGATAAAAATTTTGAAAATCGAAATTTTGAAACACCGCTGGACTTGATGTCCCTCCCTTTATTTCCTCAAAAAATCCGCAAGTTTAGTCCGCAAGTTTATTTTTGGTAGAAAACGTGCTTTTTAATTCTATCAAAAAATCTCGATACCGATAACCAAAATATATCTCTTTTAACGAGCCATTTTGACCCACTTTTTAATTTAATTTTTACTTGCGGACAAAACTTGCGGATTAAACTAGCGGACAAATTTTGCGGATAAATTTGCGGATTTTTTATTCTTTCCTTTTTAAGAAAAATCTAAAATAATTTTTAATAATAAATAAAAAAATTTATTTATATTTCTTTCTATAAATAAAATTTAATTAATATATGTATTTTCCCCAAAAAAAGCTTTAAATTTTTTTCTTTATAATCCCCCCTCAATTTTATCGCGTGGTAAAACTAAATTTTTCTTTTTTTTTTAAATTTTTTTCTTTTGTCATTTTATTTTTATTATTTTTCTTTTTTGCATAATTCTTGTCCTTTCTAAAAACAACAAAAAAAAAGTTTGCGGACGAACTTTAAATTTGCGGACAGAAAATTGGATTCAGAAATTTATTCCTCACAACACACGCCTAAGTTGGAATCTGTAGCCTTTGGTTTTGTGAGGGAGATAATTTAAGGGAGGGAATATTTCTGATTAGCCTAGGTAAACTGTTTAAAATGTATAAAATTATGGGTATCTCATGTTGGTTGTGGGCAGTATTGGGCCAACTAAAATTTCAAATGACCTTCCACCCAATCTTTTGTTATGTCATAGAGTCCATCTTTATCCTATTTTAGATCAGGGTCATGTTCTAAACTTTCGATTCGTGGAGATTTTAAGTTGGATTAGGTTGGATTAAAAAAGGTGGATTTATTAACAAAAGGTGGACTAGCTCACACTTGAAACTCTTTCGAAATGGCTTTTTGCTAGTTCTCGTGTTCGTTTTTTTCTTGACAGCCAAGCTTTTGTTTAACTTGTACAAACAAAGATTTTTTAAAAATCTTTGTATCTTTTCCTTTAAGAAAATAAATTAGCTATATAATTATGTATATTAAGTAAATTAATTTTTAATATTTGGAAAAAGGTCCTTTTTCCCTCCCCTTTCTATTAATAAAAATTAAAAAAAAAAAGTTTTTTCTAAAAAAAGTTGGAAAGGTTTTTGTTGAATTAATTATTTTTATTGCACATTTACACCTTTTATTTAAAAAAAAAAGTTTTTTTTATTTTAATAATTAGCTTTAAATAACCAACCAATAATTATTCCACCTGCCACCCTTTTATTTCTATTTTTATTTCACTTCATTTAAAATTGAAATAAATTTTTATATTTCTTTTTAAAGTAATTCTTTAATAATTAGAGGTTATGAAGTCTTAAAAACGAGTTTGCCGTATTTCTTCTATTAGAATGCCATGGCATTCTAATTTTCAATCACCTTCAAAGGTGGAGAGGGTGGCGTTCTATTTCAAGGTGGGGCGTTCTATTAGAGAGTGGCATTTAAATAGAGGGTGGCATTGTATTTTTCAATCACCTTCCAATTGGCATTCTATTAAAAGGCAGCATTCAAATAAAGGAAATACAAAATCTCCGAACGAAATCCCGTAATACTCGTCAATCTCTTGAAAACAGCTAGATTTTTCTCTCTCTCCACAAATTTAAAATTCGAAAAAGCGCAAAATCCTTCTGTTCTTTCTTAATAATCAAGTCTAATACCTCAAGAACCGGACCACTCAGAAATCAGAGAATTTTGATTTGATACCAAAGCGACGTTAGAATTAAAGTGACATTAGTTTGGGGCTCAATCCAGACTAAAACATATACCTCGGAACCGATTTAAGATTACTTCTGAAGGAAATTGACGTGGGATTGGGCGTCTTTATATCAAGATTTCAATGTTTTTACTTTTTTTAAATTTAATTATTTTTACACTTTAAAAAAATAAACAACATAAAGGAGATCCTTCTCCATAAACACAATAATTGTTTATTTTCAAGTCAACTAAAAATATTTTTTTCTTCAAAATTTTCTTTTTTTTTAAAACTACGTCAATTTCTTAAAAATATATTTATTTTTAAATTTTTTAAAAATTATTTCCCTTAAAATTAATTTTGTAAAAATCTTAGGTAATAGTAGGGTTTCCCCCCCCCCCCCCATTTTCCCCTAAATGCCTGACCTTGAGCTTATTTGCATGATATATTGAGGTGTATTTTCTATGAAAAGTAATGCTTGGACAGCTTCCGCAACCCTCCCCCCCCCCAGGCCGTAAAATAAGAACTCGGTCACCTGACGTCACTTCAGTGACTCACCTGAAGTTACCCAACTCGGTCACCTCATGTCACCTGACCATGGTCACCTAACCTTCGTTAGGCAACCACAAGGGCATGGTTAACCTTACGACCGTCTTATTTTACCGGTTAAAACCGCCGGTTGTTGGTTTTAACCAGTAACCAAGTTCTTATTTTATGGCCCCTAATTTTTAAAACGTCCATTAAATGGAGGTGTTCTAATATTGGGTGTGCTTAAAAAAGAGAGTGTCTATTAAAGAAAATATACTCCAAAAAATTTTTTTCTGCAATTGCCAATATTTAAAAAAATAAAAATTTATTCCCTCAATTATCGATGGAATATAAATCTTTCAAAAAAAGAGACACGTTTCCGCCCTTTTTTGACAAATTAGTGTCCTCTAATTCTTTTTTTTTTGCATTTTTATTTTCTTTCTTTTATTTTCCCCCCAATTTACATTTTTTTTTGAAAAATTTATTTTTAAAAATTCCAATAATTTGGGAAAAAATTGTTTTTAAAAATAGGTTAAAGTACAAAAAATATTTTTTTTCATAAATTAAAAACAAAAAAGTAAACGTAATTTGATCTAATTTTTTATTTAAATTAAAAATTTTTTTAGTTCCTTTTTTTATTTGATGATTTCATTTAAAAAAAATATAAAATCATTTTTAACCTCATTTTTAAAACCCTCTTTAACCTTGAAAAATTGTATATTACAACGTGGGGTTCTTTAATACAGCCTCACCTTAAATGGATGTTATCCCTTGAACTGGCACGCGGATCCTACTGATTTCGGGACCTCCGGCCACTGAGTCTTGGATAGTATATTGTTGAGGAATAGAGTTTTATGGTTTAGAACAAACGTAAACACGCAAGAACTTATTTTTGTCACCCCAATCCCGATATGTCCGTCCCGATATATCCGCACCCCCTTGGACTAACTCCCCCCCCTCCACACACAATGGCCAACCACATTTTTAAAACGTTCCTTGAATAGAGGCATATCATTATTGGGATATTTAGAAAGAATGTTTTGGCCGTAATCATCCGTATTTATTTTGCAGAAAATCTGCATTTTTTCTAGAAAATCCGCAAATTTTAAAATTAATTTATTTGCCAATTTTTAACTTGTTGGCATACTGTTAATTAAATTAAATTTATTTAGTTATACCTCACTTCAATTAATTTAAAAAATGACTCTAAGCGAGAGTGCCACTTGTTTTAAAATTAAAGATTTACTTAATAATTACAATATTTTTAATACACCACTAAATACAGCAGAAAATGAATTGACAGATGAGGGTGGAGAAAGGTATTTCTTGTGAAAATGAATTTTGCCATTTGTTGAGATTTCTTGGCGTTCTGCCAATTTTCAAAAAATTTCTGGCATTCTGTTATTTAAAAAAATTTTGGCATTTTGTCTTTTTGATCAAATTAAAGGGAAATGCCATTATGGCATTTCTTGAGATTTTTTGGCGTTCTGCCAATTTTCAAAATTTTTTTGGCATTCTGTTATTTAAAAAAAATTTTGGCATTTTGTCCTTTTGACATTTTGAAATATTTTTGGCATTTTTAAATATTTTTGGCATTTTGTTTTTTTGGCGTCTTTTCATTTTTTTAAATTCCCCTTACCTTCTAGCGAGTTCAACTACTTGGTTCAACAACAGTCATCTTTGTGTGAACCTGATTTTGATAGAAGGTACAATTTAAAAAAAAATCATTTTATCCCAAAAAATCATTTCAAGTCTCTGTTGGTATAATGTCTCTCTTGGCTCCATCGGCCAACGTCCTTGCCCCTTTCAGTTTTGCAAATCTTTGCCTGAATGTGAATTTATGGATCAAACATATACAGCTAGCCGTTATTGTTTTGAGAATGGAACTTGGGGAGATAGGTGAGGAAGAAAGAAATATTCTTACAATTAGAAGAGAAATTCTAATAATTCCCGAATATTAATAAAATTAATTAGAGATCGGAATTTTGAAAAAACCGGGACCGGGAACCGGGAAACGGGTTCTGAAGGTCGACCGGGAGGGACCCGGACCGGGAAAACCGGGAATTCCCGTTCCCGGTTTCATCCCGGTCAAAAATGACCGGGACCCGGACCGGGAAACCGGGAAATTTAAAAAAAATTTTAAATTCATTTAAAAATTTTAAAAAGTTATGGGAGTAGTTATTTATTGAAAAATTTGATTTATAAATAGAAGAATTTAATAAATCAGTAAAATAAATCAATAAAACAAATGTAAATTACAATAAATTAAAACATAAAGCGGATTACGTAGGGCTAAAGGGATTTGAGAGGCTAGAGAAGGATTGTGGGATATTAGGAGATTTTGTAGTTTAAGATCTCCCGATAGCCTCCTCAAACTTTTTAATTCGCCTATATGTATTCCTCATCTAATTCCCTTTAATCCCTCCTAATCCACCTTGATGCTGATTTAATTTTTATTTAATTTTTATTTAATCCCTCCAAATCCACTTTGATCTTCTCTGTGCAATAGTGATATCAGGGATTAAGAGATATCGAGGGATTCAAGTATTTGTTGGGTAGCATTAAGAGAGATTGTGGAGAAAGACCTCCAACCACCTATATCACCTTATATCTATTCCAATCCCTTCAATTGGAAGGCAATGATATCAGATGATTAAGGCAGATCTAATGGATTTAGAGGGATAAAGATGGCTTAATCACCAGGTCCCTTGATAAAATCGCACTATACACTAATTTCCCTCAACTTTTCCTCCAATAATACCTCCAAATTTCTCCGTTCCAAATTTTTCCGCGAAAATTTTGAGAAGTTTGGAAGGCAAAACAGCCAAATTTCTTCCGTTTTCAGCGCCGCAGGCGAAAATTTTGAGAATTTTTGTAAAATCTCCAATATTTTTAAGTCAAAAATCAAAACGCCAAGCAAAAATATTTAAAATTAGCTGCTAGAATTTTTCCCGGTTTCCCGGTCCAAAAAAAGCCGGGACCGGGAACGGGAAACGGGAAATGAAAATTAACCGGCCGGGACCCGGACCGGGAAAACCGGGAATTCCCGATCCCGGTTTCATCCCGGCATCTTCAAAAAAGCCGGGAAAAAGGACCGGGAAACGGGACCGGGTCCCGATCCCGTTCCGATCTCTAAAATTAATTAAGTTTTTAATCATTAAAAAACATTTCGCCAAACATTAATTTGGCGAAGTCCTTTAATTTAAAATTAAACTGATTTTGTTGAAATTTACCCTCGTCAGTAGGAGAGGGTAAATTTTAGCCACAAGAAGTCATCACTCCTACGACCTCCTAAGTCCTGATGGGTTCTATCACTGCGCTACTAGAAACCAGAGATGTCTCGGTTCGAGAAAAATGACGGGTCGGATTTCGGGTCGGGTTTCCAAAATTCTCCTCGGGTCGGGTTTAGGGTCGAAAAAAGGCCGGGTTTCGGGTAACTCTAGACATCTCTGCATCCCTGCTAGTTTTAACCTTTTTAATAAATCTTAAACACTAGCCTTATATCCATTATCAATTAAATTCTATCCAACTTTAATTTAAAAATTTTCCTAATTTTTAGTATGTACGGGCAGTGTATTCAACTGCTTAAAGTTTATCCTCAATGTGTCGCGGGCTATTGCAGGACGGTGAAATTAAAAAGAATTTATCGAAATTTATATAAAAAATTTTTAGTGTCCCAACCTTTTACGCGACACGGTTATAAGGGTAATTAATTTTATTTTAATTAAAAAAATTTTTTTGGTAATTTTTAAAGGTTTCTTTATCACTTTCTGTTGTTTCCGTTTGTGTTTTACTTGCCGCTCTAGTTCTTTTTTCTGCTTTTGATTCCGTCCAATGTCGACGCCTCTCTATACATAAAGTAACTTTTTGGGAAAAAATATCATTAAAAATTCAAAATAAAAAATTTTGGGGGCCGAAAGGACTCGAACCCTCATAGGGTAAAAATGACAGCCGAGAGGACTACCACTACGCCACAGATTGGATCAAAATGATGCTAAAAGAAACTTAAATAAAGAGAAGGGAAATAAGTAGGCCAGGATTAGGGCAATCTTTTAAAGGCATAAAATTGGCTCTTTTCTGTTATTCTGAAGTCAAAAAAATCTTTTTGAAAAATTTGAAAAAAAAAAATTTTCTTATAAAAATATTTAACAGAATCTAGCAGCTGCCTTCGTTCTCCGTTTTGCCATACTTGCCCTTTGGACGTTTTTAAATACTAGAAATGCATTTCAAGATTGTTCACAATTTGCGCCTTTACATGTAATTTAAATTTCAAAAATTAGAAATTTTGTGAAATTTTTCTCAAGTTGAGACAATGGGAATGGCTATGCAAATCCCTACTTTTTGGTCTTATTTATTTTCAAGTTGCTTCAGTTATGTGGATGTTGATAGAAGGGGTTTATTTATACAGCAGGTAATAAAGACACTTCTGTCCCTCATTTTTAGTTACCCCCTCCCAATAGAAGCACCGATACTCTTTTTGTCTGGTTATGAAAGCGAAGACCCTCTATTTAAGGTACACCTCATTATAAGAGACGATTTTTAAATCTCGTTTTAAATACCCCTTCTAATAGTAGAAGCACCTCAATTTAAGATACTCTCTCTTATTCATTTATGAAGGCGAGACCCTCTATTTAAGGTACACCCCATTATAAGATCCCTTATTCTTAGTTAACCCCCCCCCCCCCAATAAAGACACCTCAATTAAAAAAGCATCTCAACGTCTGGTTATGAAGGCGAGACCCTCTATTTAATATTCACCTCATTATAAAAGACGATTTTTAAACCCTAAGGGGATATCTAAAAGGGACATTAGACTGATAAGAATCAGATTTTAACTTGATTAAAATTTTTTCTTAGATTCACAGTATTTGCAATGAGACGATCAGAAGCTCCCTATTTTGTTTATCTTTTCACTGGATGGGTACTTCCTTTTTTAGTTGTAGCCACATGGGCAACGATACACGAAAGACAATCCGAGAGTCGTTCATTTTGCTGGTTGCCATATGCGAAAGGACCTCATTTGTGGATTTTGGCGGGTACTATGGGAATGGCATTAATCTTGAATGTGTTCCTATTGCTTCTTATTATAATCATTTTGGTGCGCAAACTTCGCCATGAAAGCTCAGCCGAGTCTAGGCAAATATGGTAATTCCTTAAATAATTTTTAATTAGAAAAAAATTTTTTTAGGCGAACGGTTAAAGCCACAATGTTATTAGTACCTCTACTTGGAGTCTCAAATGTAAGCTTTGATTGAGAGAAAGATAAAATTTTTCAATTTAATTTAAGGTGCCACTATTCTACGAACCTCCCCAACCAAGTGCCTTTTATATGCTAGGCTCTGCTATTTTACAACATTCTCAGGTGGGAAAATGGAGGGAATTTTGATAAAAATATGTGCTCTATTTTCCTGAAATAATCATTTAAGACGACCTAGGGTTATTCGAGTTGACTCAAGGCTGAACAGATTGAACCAATGTTAAAAGAGTTATAGCCACTCAAAGCTGACTGGTACTCTAGTGGCCCTCCTTTTAGAACATGACCCGGAACAAATTTCATTCAATACCTCTCCCATAGGCTTTTGTATTTTGGAAGAAATACAGTAATTCGACATAATTTACCATTTTGAAATTTTCCATTTCGAATTTATAAATTTATTCCACGATTTTATTTTTTAAATTCTCACCTCGATTTTTTCAGGGTATTTTCATCGCTGTGGTATGTTTTTTCTTCAGTTTATCTTAAATTATTTAAATAAAAAGATAATTTAATTATTATATATTGTGTAGATCATTTAAAAATTTTATTTAAATTTTACAGTTATACTGTTTTTTAAACGCCGAAATTCAAAATGCATTAAAACGCCAAATAAGCAAAGTTCCCCTCCTTCGAGCTATTCTGTCAGTAGTTAACCACCCCACTTTGTTTCCCCGTTTACCGCACATTCCTAAAGGTGTGGGAGGGGTCCGCAAAATTTCTTAAAGGATTTGAAGGGGTTGGGGGCGGAGTCAATGGATTTTAGGGGACTTTCCAAAAGGATTTGGATGGGGCCCTTTGATCTTGCCGCTTTCCCGCAATCCCAAATTGTTTCCCTTTTGATCTTGCCGACAAATCCCAAATTGTTTCCCCTTTGATCTTGCCGCGTGTAAAAATCCCAAATTGTTTTCCCTTTGATCTTGCCGCTTGTTAAAATCCCAAATTGTTTCCCCTTTGATCTTTCCGCAATCCCAAATTGTTTCCCCTTTGATCTTTCCCGCAATCCCAAATTGTTTCCCCTTTGATCTTGCCGACAAATCCTCAAGGTGCGAAAATTCACACCTTTTTTTTTTCTTTTATCTCGCCGACAAAACCAATTTGCTCCAAAGTGTTGGGAGAGGGGTCCGCAAAACACAAGGGGATTTCCTTTGATCTTGCCGACAAAATCAGTTTGTTCAAAAGTGTCGGGGGAAGGGTCCGAGAAACAAAATTTGACAATCTTAAGGTGTTAATTTTCACACCTTTAAACACTTTGATCATCCAAGGTATGGGGGAGGGGTCCGACGAAACCAAATTACCGCACTAGGAGTGCGGTAAATCGTCAAGGTGTGAAATATCACACCTTTTTTTCCTTTGATCCTGACGACTAAATCAATTTGTTTAAGGGTGTCGGGGGAAGGGTCCGAGAAACAAAATTTGACAATCTTAAGGTGTTAATTTTCACACCTTTAAACACTTTGATCATCCAAGGTATGAAAGTTCACATCTCTAACTCTATTTTTGATGTACTTAATGTGTGAATATTGACACGTTTTTCAGTTGATTAAACTCTTAACTGGTTGAAAATACCTAATTTTATTTGTGAATATTTTGGACTTTTAATATTAAAAATTATCCCTAAACATTCTCGAACCGTGACAACTAATGAATATTACGAATCAAAACCGCTACCTGCTAAGCTACAGAGGAACATTTTTATTGCAATTTTTTGCTTTTTAAAGCTTTTAAACTATTTTAACATGCATGCATATTAAATTAGTCAAATTTAAAATGGCGTCGCTTCTCTTTTTTAAACAAGCGTCGCTTCTTTTTTAAAAGAGCGTCGCTTCACTTTTAATTGATTGAGTATAAATACCCGAATAAAACTTAAATCTTAAACTGAAAAAATGATTTTCAAAATAATTTTAATACTATATATGATTTATAATGTTACTAGCGAAAATAAAAGTTTATCTGATTTTAAAAGATGGCAGTGTGAGAGAGCTATAACTGTATTTCGAAAAATATCCCCATCTGTATATTTCACGGATATTTTAAATGTGAGTGTACCTGAAGACATGGATTATAAAATAACTTGGACCCCTTACGGTCATGCTTGGTACGTTTGGGATGAGAAAGCAAAATCTATTATGCCAATGTATATGGGATTTCCCATAAGACCTAAGCCAGAAAAAGATGGTATATTATATTCTGGATGGGTATTCATAAAAGAAACTAGCTCATCAGTTATTGAATTTTTCAAAACGATATTCAGTCCAATAGCAGAACTAAAATTCCAAAGAGGGGTGTTTAGAAGGTAGACTTCAAATCAGTTTATTATTACCTTATCTAATCAGAAGGGGCGTGGTCTAATTATGGAGTATAAAAACAGAGCTGATGTATGAATTTTATTTCCTTTTGCTCATTTTTAAAAATTTTGTTAAGATGAACAATAATAAAAATCTAACTCGTCAAGTTTTACCTGAAGTAGAAATTAGCATTAATTTGAATGGAATAACGATTTCAAGTGAGCGTTTAACCCCTTCTCGTTTTGTACCATATGATATAGCTGGCAAATGTCGTGAATGTAAAAGTACGGAAGCTGAAGTGGATTTTATTGTCACCAAAGATGGTGTTACTATCTTTTGCACGCGTATTTCAGGAACTCGTTATGTACCGTTTGATCTAACTTATGACTTACCAGGAATATGCTTCTTTCGGGTAGATATTTTTTAGTCTTTATCTATTATATTTTATAAATTAAGATTAAGAACAAAGGCCGCGTATTCAATATCCCATATGGCTCTGTAAAACCACAGCCACAGCTTCCAACTCAACAACCGACACAACCAGCAACTCTAAGCCAAAATACAATGTCAGAAAAACAGAATAAACCAAAGCAATCTATTAGTACACAAAAATCTACAAAACATACAATTGAAAATATCCTCAAAGACAAAAGTAAAGAAAATAATGAAAATGTTTTGCTTAATGAATTTTTTGATAGTCTCGATGCAGCAACAACTGGAATTCCATCACAGATTGATAAGATGAATAATTTGAAGAAACAGTCTACAAGGATGGAAGAAGAGGAGATGGCTGCTATCGAAACATTATATAACATACCTCGTTAATTTTTCTTATTTAAACCAAAAATTATTTTATTTTTCAATTAATTAAAATGGAAACTTTAACATTCTCAGATAAAGATTTGAAATTTAAAATTCCTTTTGGTATGATAATTTCTGGTCCTAGTTCCAGCGGAAAGAGTACATTATTATTAAGGTTTATTTCTGAAGCCTCGAATTTAATTGACCCCAAACCTAAAAGTATACTTTATTGTTTTGGTGAAATGAGTAATATTGTCCCTATTCTACATAAATCAGGTGTCAGTGTTTATTCTGGTGTTCCTTCTGAGGATTTGATTAAAAAATATCAAAAGCCATTATTACTAATTCTTGACGACTTACTTATGTCAATTGATGAAAAATACTTGTCCGAGTTATTTACGAAAAAATCTCATCATCAAAATTTTGCTATTGTCTTTGTTACTCAGAATTTATTCGAACGCAAAATTAAAGTTGCGCGACAAAATGCTCAATATATTATTATAATGCGTTCTCCTAATTCGGTATTATCTGTACGTAATATAGGTGTTCAACTATTTCCACAGAAGCTCGATTATTTCCTCGATGCATATAGACAAGCAACAAATAAACCTTTTGGTTATCTAGTTATTGATATGCATGCTTCATCTGACCCAGGACTGAGACTACGCACAAGTATATTTAAAGAAGATGAAGAAAAAATTATTTTTATTCCAAAAAATAGAATATAAATAATAATATGGTTAGCCAGATTATTCACGAAAATTTACAATTTTTACGACTTCTTGCAAAAACAAAATCGCATCGAAAATTGCAACGACTGTTAAGGCTCTCAAATACAAACCAATTATTAGCTATAACCGAAATTTGTCTGAATATTATAAAGGCTAGACTCAAACTTACTCCTCGGCAAAAGAAACGACTGATTCCATATGCTGACTTTGTTCGTAAAATGAGTAGGATAAGAAGTGAACTTGGCGCTAGAAAAATTTTAAATCAAAAAGGAGAGGGTGTGGGTATGTTTGCAGCGTTATTGACACCGGTTCTTATGGAATTAGCAAGATCTCTAGGAAATTCTATAAAAAGCAAGAATTAAACAAAAAACAACATACCTAAAATTATGGCAAACAAATTTATTCTTGTTCCTGAGGAAATTTACAAAGGTCTAACTACATTTGATACGGGGGAGCCTAATCTAGATTTAATTAGAAATGATCTTGAAAGAATTAAAAGAAAGAAAGATACTCCAAGTGCAAAAAATGTAAAATATAACCAAGAACTGAGACGGTATTTACAATTAAGAAATGAACAACAAAATAGACCAGTTAAAGTAGAGATGGTTGCAACACCTAAGGGAGCAATAATGAGTACAAATTCTACACGGCCGTCGTCTAATATAGTCGAAGATGATGATGAAATTTTGACAACAGATGATATTTCTCTCCCGTCTTTTCCTCAATCTAATAAAGATGTTAAATCGATAATTAATTTCAAACCCCAAAAACTACCTCACCCTCCATCTTTATCTTCATCATCTAGCTCTGTTAAAAAACGATTTAAGAAATTGAGAGGAAGCTCACCACCTCCTCCTCCACTACCTCCAACTACAAATCTTAAATTAATAAAAAAAGAAATTGTGTCTGAGCCAAAGAAAAGATTTTCAAGACACAAAAGTACAAAATATTCAAAAACAGGGAGTACAAAACAAGACTCTACAAGGCAAGACTCTATTATATTATCCGAAGATGTGCCAATAATATCAACTCATGTCTCACCTCAACAACGAATTATTAAAAGAGAATTTGACCAGGCTGATTTTGAAGGTATAAAGAGGAAAAAGATATATGACAACAGAAGGGAACAAGAAATAAGACAAAAAGAGAATAAATTGAAGGAAATCGATAAGAAACGTTATGAAAAAAGGCAACAATTATTAGCCAGACGACGAAAGTCGCAGAAACATAAAGTTCCAATAGACCCTTATGTTATTCAACAATTACGTAATAAAGAAAAAAGTGGAGCATCAAAAGGTTCAAGAAGGGTTTTAAGAGAGGGAAAATCACCTTCCCCGCCATTAAGCCGTCAAAAAATAAAACGAAAAGCAGAGTGGTCGCAAGGAGACGGACATACAATTGCTAAAGTCCAGAGAAAAGTCAACAAAAAACAATCACAAAGAGCTTCAAGATTATGGGTTAAAAATCTGAAGAAAAGAAATTTAGAGTTTCGCTCATATAAAACAAAAAATAAATGGGCAATAAGAAAACCGACACAAAAGGATATCAACAGATTTAAACCATCTCTTTGGTAAAAGATGGCTGATTACACTAAATTTCTTGACGATCTATACAATAATCCAGAATCACCTGCAGCTTTTTCAGGAATTGATCGACTTTGGTATGAAGCACGTAAAGTTTTCAAACATATACCAAGAAAAGCTGTTCAACATTACTTAGAAGGGCATAGAACATACACTCTTATGCGACCCAAACGTATTCATTTTAAAAGATCAAAAACTGTAGCAGCTGGATTTATGACAGATGTACAAGTTGATTTGGCAGATTTCCAACAACTTTCTAGACATAATAAAGGAAATCGTTATTTGCTTCTAGGTATTGATGTCCTTTCTAAACGTGTTTTTGGTGTTCCTGTCAAGTCCAAAAAGACTGAAGAAATGATAGAAGCCTTCAAAAATTTAATTTCACAAATGCCAATGAAACCTCAACGAATTTTTTCAGATAAGGGGACAGAATTTAAAAATAAACAAATGAAGGAATTTTTTGAAAATGAGGGGATAGAAAAGCATGAGCCAACACATTCTATCGTCAAAGCTTCAGTTGCCGAAAGAGCAATTCGTAATGTAAAACAACGACTTTACCGAAATTTTGCTCAAAAGAAAACATTAAACTGGATTGATGTCCTCGAAAAAATTTTGGAAGGAATAAATAAAGCAAAAAGTAGAATCCATGGAATGCGACCGATAGATGTCAATTTTGATAATGCTCAAAAGGTATGGAAACAAATCTATGGAAACATATTTTCTTCAAATAATAAAATAAAACCAAAACTCAAAAAAGATGATTTTGTACGAATGAGTGTAAATAAAGGTGCTTTTGAAAAAGGATACATACCAAATTGGGGAGATGAAATATTACAAGTGGACAATATAAAGGAAACCCCTTTACCAATTCAATACAAAGTTAAGGATGATAAAGGTGAAAAGTTCAAAGGTTCATTTTACAATGAAGAGTTAACTCGTGTAAGAAAGGATGCCGATACAGAATATAGAATTGAAAAAGTTTTGAGAAAAAGAAAGAGACCAGATGGAACTTTTGATGTTCTTGTTAAGTTTATAGGATACCCTGAAAGAGAATGGATTCATGAGTCACAATTAGTATAAAAGAAAACAATTTTTTCATTATTGTAAAAATTTTTCGATAAAATTATGTCAAACAGCTTTTTTGTCTTCCTCCCTAGTAATATTCCCGATTATCCTGATAATCGTCCAAATAAATTTAGAGTTCATTTACCTAAACCACTCTATTTTTCTGGCAACTGGGTGTGTGGATTACATAGTATAAATTATCCATATTCATGGGCAGCAACTATTGGTACACTAGATGATCAATGGATCGATATACATTTTAAAGATAATTTGGGAATGGGCAGAGTCTTACGAGTTCCAGTTCCAAAGGCTTCTCATACTTCAGTTGAGAAATTACACGAGTTTTTAATTTCCACGCTTCAACATCAAAGTGAGACTTATGGAGCTTCGCCTTTGGAAAAACCTGAAGATTTAGTTGATTTACCCTCACTTAAACGTCAAAAAAATAAACGATCATTAGAAGAGTTAAGACAAATTAGAGTGGGGATCATTCCTAAAGTTGATGAAGTGTTCATAGATTATCCTGATCAATATTGGGACCAAATAAAAATTTTAAAAGATAAACTTGTAGAAGATTCCAAATCTTTAGATGAATTTAAATTAAGAACAGATCAAGAACAGGATGAGACAATCAAAAGTGAAATGACAACAACATTTTGGAATCTCAGTTACAAAAGAAGTGCTTTAGAGTCTCGAATTAGAAAATTAGAAGAAGAAGCAAAAAGGAGAGATTTTGAAAAGAATAATTCAGATGTAAACATTGTTGTCGATTTTTTCGAAACCTACCCCGAAAATTACAATGAAATATTAATTATAGACCATCTCAAACTAATAGCTCTCTTCATAGAAGACAGAAAGGAAAAACACTTACAACTAGAAGGGTTTTTACCAAGATTTAAAAAAGAAATTGAAAAGATGACTAAGAGAGTAAATTTACTTGATGCTGCTGTACTAAGAAGGGACAAACAAAAGACTGTTAAACAATATAATAGGGAGAACTATATAACCCATAAAAGCTATGTTGATAAATTTTTCAGTGATAACCATGATTATTGGCCAGCAATACGAAGTAATTTCTACGGATTGATCGCTACATATCAGGAAATTTCTAATTCAAAAACTTTGTATGACGAGGAAACAGATGAAGATCGAAGGAAGGAATTAAATACTAAAATTGATGGACTCAAAAGGCTTGTCAATTATAGAATGGATAGATTTAGGGCACTTGAGTTTGAAGGAATTGCTAGAGATAGAGAGACAGCAGATGAACCTTACAGGCCCCCACCTCTACCAACGTATACAGACATACACCCTCCAACAACAACATCAACCCCAATTACTACTCAACAAACTTCTCCTTTAAAGTCTCTACCAGGCTATACATCTCCAACAAAGCCTGTCTCACAAGATCAACAAAAAGGAGATATTTCAGAACAACCTCCTCTTCCACCTGTTATAATTGAGTCTCCTAAACCTGTAGATATTTCAAAACCTTCCCTTCCGACACCTGAAACAACAACTCCTGTTCAACCTTCACGACCTGAACCAACTACTGAGGATCTTTCAAAACTTCCTCTTCTTCCAACCCCTGAAGAAACATTCAGTGATCCATTATGGACCGAAGAAATGGAACAAATATTAACAAAAATACTCGGGAGAACACCCACTCGCCAAGCGCGAATAAATTATTTACCGAATATGCCGGCACTTTTACGACAGTATGGGCGTCTAAAGAAGGATAAAGTTGATGCTTCAGTTCAAAAACAAATAATTGATTCTATCGAAATATTATATCACAAGGATTTTGAACGTTTTAAAGTACAATTCAATCATACGAGTATTAAATATCTATCTTTCTCTCCTCAACTTGGATATGTTTTGGGGTTTGAAAATACAAATATGGTCCAAAATAGAGAAATTGCAAAGTATGGATGTGATTTAAGAGGTGGTTTTTCAAGCTTTGCGGTTTATACAAAAGGACTAACAGAAAATATGATTATTGGTAATAGCTTAAGTTCACTTCTACGCGTAGTCTCTGTGGCCGGTGCAAAACCTGGAGAATATAATGAAAATATTTATGATTCACCAATATATGCTCGTGTTTTACCAAAGGAAGTTAATGAAATTGAGATTGAAATAAGAACGATGGATAATGGAAGACTAGTACCATTTTCTTTTGGTACAGTACTCATTGTCTTGATCTTTAAAAAAGTTATCAATTTTTAATTTTCTTTCAAAGTGTATATAAATAGTAGTTGTAATTATTCAAATCTAAAATAAATTTTATTTATTAAAAAATGGTGCATGTTATCTTTGATACAAGTACAGTAGGCTATGACGATTTTGTCCATAAAAATCCTAATGAAATGTCAGGTGGTGGAGAAATATCATATGATTATTTTCGAGGGTCTTCACCCTTCCAAAGAGGATATGGTATTCAAAAAGGAACGGGTGTGGGAGATATTATGCGAGGGCTTTGGCGTTTCTTTCTTCCTGTTCTTCGAAATGTTGGAAATACTGTAAAGTCAGAAGCAATTAACACAGGACAACGTGTTCTTGAAAGAGTTAGTCAGGGAGAACCAATCAAAGAGGCTTTCATTAGTGAAGGAAAGAAGGGTGTAGATACTGTACTGGAGAAGGGAGGCCTGCCTAAACAATTTGGTTCAGGATTTGCAAGAAAAAGGGGTATAAAAGGGAGAAAATTACCAAGTTATCAAACATTAATTGGCAAACCTATTAAAAAAAGAGTGAAATCAGACGTTTTTGGTCTTTACTAAAATGGCTTTTCACAAAATCGACAGTGATAGTATCAACTCAATAACTAATGCTTTAGATTTTTTTCAAATTCCACCTACAAATGTAAGTATTTCGTCGTCAAAAGTTTTTGAAATTCTGCCAAGCAATCCACTCACCGATACACCTTACCATTTTAAAATTCACGCAAGTCAAAATTATATTGATTTGGCTAAATGTTATTTATTTACTGAATTCCGCATTCGAAAAGAAAATGAAAGTGGACAACTTGTAAATCTTTCTGTTGCAGACAATGTTTCTCCAATACAGCTTATAGGACAGACATTTATTAATAATATGCGAATAAGTGTTAATGGAAGAGAAGTGTTCAATTCAAATTCCCTTTATGCTTACAAAACCTATTTTTCACATGAGCTCTCATATTCACAAAACGCAAAGAGCTCACATTTAAATGCCGCTGGATACTTTTACAATAATACTTCAACTCAAGAAGGTGGTTTAGATACAATCGAAAGGAGAAGATTATTTGAAAACAGTAAAACAGCACAATTCATTGCTAAACTTGATGCAGATATTTTCAATCAACCACTTTATTTAATAAATCACTGTGAGGTTGATATCGAAATTATACCAAACGATTCCCGATTTGTTCTTATGACATTTGGACTTCAAAATGCTATGGAAGTAGCAACGCGTTATCATTTTGAAGTAACAAATATGAAACTTTATGTTAAGAAGGTTGACTTAATGGACGGATTGGCTTTGGACATTGCAAAAAGACTTGAAACTAAACCTGCTCGCTACTCGATAAGAAAAACTATGATGAAGCCATTGTTTATTAGTCAGGGTCGATATGAGTTTAATGCCAACCTATTTATGGATCAGATTCCTAGACGTATTACATTAGGGCTCGTTTCTAATTCTGATTATGTAGGAGATATTAAACGTAGCCCGTTCAACTTTCATCATTTTAATGTTCGCGAGATTAGTATTATTGCAAATGGAAGAAATTATCCACAAGCCCCGTATGATTTTGATTATGAGAATGGAAAATATATTCGTGCTTTTAATGATATGAATGAGGCAGTTGGTTTAGCAAATTCAACGGAGAGCAATGGAATAACTTTACAGCAATATGGAAAAACACATTGTATCTATGTTTTTAACCTAACAAATAGCGGAGAAGATCAAGGAGGAACTTTTGATTTAATTAAAAATGGAACAACGGCTGTAAATATTAAGTTTAGCAAACCTGTACCTGAAGGAGGAATAATGCTTATAGTAATGGGAGAAGCAGATTCACTTATAATGTTAGATAAAAATAGAACAATCGCGAGTGATACCACAATATAAATTCTAATCTTTTCATATTGTAGTAATTTTAAATTAGATAAACTTAATAACTTTTATATCTTATTTTTGATATAAATAAAACATTACCACATATTTTTAAAATTTTTCAATCAAGAAAAGTATAAATATGAAAAAATTTTAAGAAAAATCATTTAAAAATGAAAAATCTTTTGAAAATAGTTTTTCTGATTAGAATATTTGTTCCACTAGTTGAAGCATTATCAACTGATGGTACTATAAAATTAGATAATTTACCAGAATATTCTGAACTTGTTAAATATTACAGAGGTGAAAATATTACAGGAAACCCTCTTTTACCTTCAAAAGAAAAAATTGTTGCCCCGGTACCAAATTTTATTAATTTCGATAATCTGCCATCACTTTGCAAGGAAAGTCCAAAAGACAACAATTTTTATGGACATGTATTCTGCTGGGGAATGATATGTTTGTATGCCATGTTATTAGCTAGTTTGGTTATTTATCAACTCCGATCAGTTCTGTGGTTCAAATTCAATTTTAGCAACAACAATGTACGCAAGTCAGATTACTCAAATTCTGAGGACAAATCCTCAAACGTCGCGAATCTTCCTAGGATGTTTTCCGTGTAATCGACTACCTGATCCTAGTTTATCAAAAGGGAAATTTTTAATAGTAAATTTGGATCCTTATGGATATGAAGGTTCTCACTGGATCGTTATTTACATAAAATATAATGATGAAGTGATATATTTTGATAGTTTAGCTCTTCCTACTAGTATATGCATAATAAATTCGTTTCTAAGAAATTTTCCAAAAATTATAAGAAATCTAAAACGCTATCAAGCACCTTTCGCTAGAACATGTGCCCATCATTGTATATCTTTTATATATTTTTATTCAAAGAATTATAATTTTGAGCAATATCTTGAGTTTTTAGACAAACAATCTAATCCTGATTTATTTGTTTTTAATATTGTGAATAAAATGATTACATAAAGTTTTTGTAATTTAGATTTTTAAATTTCTCAATTAAGATTTTTTGAGATTTACTTTCTTTTGATTTATTTTTTATGCATGAATAATTATAATGCTTGAAAATTCTTTTATGTCATGCACGCATATTTAATAAATTTTTGAATTTAATTTGTTTTAATCTCTTTTTATGACATGCTTGCATATTTAATTAAAATTTTTGAATTTTAGTTTCCTTTGATTTTTTTATGACATGCATGCATATTTAATTAAAATTTTTGAATTTTAGTTTCCTTTGATCTTTTTATGACATGCATGCATATTTAATTAAGATTTTTGAATCCTAGTTTCCTTTGATCTTTTTTATTATTGCGTGCATATTTAATTAAAATTTTTGAATTTTAGTTTCCTTTGATCTTTTTATGACATGCATGCATATTTAATTAAGATTTTTGAATTTTAGTTTCCTTTGATCTTTTTTATTATTGCGTTCATATTTAATTAAGATTTTTGAATTTTAGTTTCCTTTGATTTTTTTATGACATGCATGCATATTTAATTAAAATTTTTGAATTTTAGTTTCCTTTGATCTTTTTATGACATGCATGCATATTTAATTAAGATTTTTGAATCCTAGTTTCCTTTGATCTTTTTATGACATTCGTGCATATTTAATTAAGATTTTTGAATTTTAGTTTCCTTTGATCTTTTTATTATTTTCGTGCATATTTAATTAAAATTTTTGAATTGTAGTTTCCTTTGATCTTTTTATGACATTCGTGCATATTTAATTAAGATTTCTAGATTTAGTTTTTTTTTGATCGTTTTATGACATTCGTGCATAATAATTAATTAAGGGACCGGACTATAAATAGTTGCTTTTTATCTTTAAAAATTTTAAAATTAAATAAAAATATTTTATAGTCAAAAGTATCAATAAGTTTTATTCACAATGGAACAAACTTTTGCCACTTTTTTGAATATTAATGATATTAAACAGGAGGATATTAAACAAGAGCTATTGAACAAAATGCCGGGAAAAGTTGATGAACAGAATGTTTTTGAGGTAACTATTCAAAAATCAAATTTATAAAAAAATTTTAGGGGGTTGCCGAATTTTGGGATTGTTCCTGGCATCCTCAAACAAAAGAGCTCAATCAAATGATTAAAAATGGGGAGAAATTGGATCCCTCTACTTTTTTCATATTTTTGGACCACAACTATGAGACATCGACATGGTGTGATCAATGTCGCAAAACTTTACTTGAAATGAAGCAAGAAGAAATTTTAGAAGTCGGAGAAGGAAATACATACAAATATAAATTTTTTGTATGCACTGATTGTGCTCAGATAATAAAATATGCAACTTTTTATTATTAAATTGATTAATATTATTTCCTTATTATAAAATTCTTAATCTAGCTAATATTAAATAATGTTTTAAGTATTATTGTTTATAACATTGTTTATCTTGATTAAAAATTGTTACAATAATTATTAATTTATTTTGGGTGTGTATGGTGATAAAATATCAGTTGACTTGCAATTCTTCTTAAAGCATGCTTCACACATTTCAAATTTAACTTCAATCTTATCTTCTTTTCGAACCGCTTTGTCACTCTTCTTAAAAACATTGTCACGACATTCTGAAATTTTAAATATTTTAATAAAAAGAAATGATATTAACCTGCACAAAGTGAGAACGTTAGAAGAAATTTTCCTCGAAATAATTTCCAAAAAGGTTCATTAGTAGTTTTAGTTTCTGAATTATTAGTAGTATTCTTTTCAAGTTCATTGGTAATGCCTTCCATTTAAGAATTATTTTAAAAAATTTTGTGAATGTGCATGAATGGTTAGCCAGAGTATTTATATCGGTAATTTAGGGGCGGTCCTTAAATTTTTAACGTAAAATGATGAGTATATAAACACTAATTAATATTGAAAGTTTATTTCATTTAAAAACTTAAAATGGTCCTTATAAGTGAAGAATGTGCTAATATTCTATGTTGCACTGTTAAATCACTTGTAACTCTTCTAAATCATCCTGAAAATAGAAAATTAATTCTAAAAAAGCTTCAAGGCTGTAAGGTTGCAACAACATATACTGATAAAAACGGAATGAAAAAAAGTTTTACAATAAGTGGTTTATCAAAAGAGGGTGCAAATGT